GTCATGATTATATTTTTATTGGCTGACACGCCGACTCCGAGTCCTCTGAGGGGGCTTGCATGCTTGGACGTGCGCGGTGTGATCGGGACCGAAGGAAGTTCAGCATCCACTCCATACCTCAGCCTGCCAGAGGAAGCAAGCACTGCACTTACAACACACACACGCACGCACGCACACGCACACACGCGCGCACACACACACACACACACACACGCACACGCACACACACGTCCATCAGCAGGAGCGTGTGAGCAGGATCTTTCCATTGCATCATGTGCTGTTCTTAATGACAGCCGGGCGTGGCGAGTCTCTCCCTGCTGCCTCCTTCTAAAAACAGCCATTGCTCCGCCCCCTCCTCCTCCTCTGCGAGTATCTCCAGCAGCACCTTAAATATCAGCAGGGCGACGTCACCGCTCGCTGCCGAGTGACCTGTAATTACAGGCTGTGACGCCCTGCTCTGCTCTGCCCGAGGCGAGGGGCGGGATGGGCCGTTCACCTCGTGAAGCCACGCTGCGCTCACATGTGCAAACACATCCACGCAGCAGGACCCGCCCCCATCACACGAGGCGCTAAAGCCCCCTCCTGACCTGAAACGCTTATGTGCAGCTTCGCTTCTCAAAGAGCCGTTTTTCTGCACGCCAACGAGTCCGTTACCTGTGTGACACCTGCATGCAAATATTCCTGTGGTGCCTTTGAAGAGCTCGAAGAGAATCTGACGCCTCATAACAAAATCACAGCCTCGCTTCAGCTGTGCTGCAGTTAACAAATCAAAGAGTGCGCACAGTTAAAAGACGCCATCAGCTCTTCAGACTTTCACAAACGACATCATCGCCAGTAACATGTGACAGGAAACAAGTCCTGTCCTTCTAAAGCCCCCTTTGTTCTGAGTGCATCCAGAAGCCTGACGAGGGGCAGCGCTCTCCAACTGTGAGCATGCAGTGTCGTAAAGAAACAACCGCAGCAGTTCCTGCAGCGTCCAGCAGAGGCAGCAGTGAGTCAGTCTCAAACACAGTGGTCTGTGAGGACCACGTCGCCCTCTGCTACACTGTGCGGGGGATAAACTGCTTCATAACTGATGCATGTGGGTTTGTTGAGGTCTAAACCGACCAGCAGGTGGCGTCACTGCTGTGTAAATGCAGGTGTGACTGTACCTCCGTGAAGAGATGCTGGATGACTGTAGCCAGAGCCTCCACTCTTTTGTTCCCTTGCACGAGCAGCTTCCTCAGCTGAGCGATGGCCTGGTTCTTCTTCTCTGCCTGCTCTTTGCTCTGGTTCTGTTTGATGGCGTTCGTCCCGTCCGACGCCACCGCGCCTCCATGGCTGCCAGCTCTGGACGCGCCCTGAAGGCGAGACCCGGCTCTGGGGCCGGATCGTGGCCCGGTTCTCGCTTTCAAACCGAGAGTCGAGGGTCCGGCGGTTCCTGACGTGGCAGTATTGGTGGCGTTAGTGGCAGGCACTGGAGGAACTGGTGCCACTGGTGCGTTAGCATTCACGTCATCTGGTATCTACACAAACAGGAGGAAAACAGTGTGATTACAAACACGCTAACAACACGCTAACAACACGTTCACTGGTTCTAGAGTCAAACGTCTCCGTCCCTCATCGTGCGAGAGGACGAGGAGTCGTCTCAGCTGCTGAAGCATCAAACAGAAGCAACCCTGACGCCGCTGCTCGTGTCACACGTACCAGGTCGGGCGGAGGCAGCTGCAGGTTCTGGTTGTTTCCTCCGGTGGATGCTGCCGTCTGCGAGCTGCTGCCGGTGTGTGATGGCGTTTTCCCCGGCGCCTCCCGCGGCTTGTTGTTTTTATCCACTGCAAGAGAGCGACGACCTCTTAGTGTGCGGGCGGCGGGTGCGACATTCAGCATGGTGTCCACACACAGACGCACAAACACGGCTCGCACTCAAGTTACACACACAGCAGGCTGACGACAATCACACACACAGCAACACACACGCCCTGCTGCTGAAACCAATGCATCATGGGAGAGAGTGTGTGTGTGTGTGTGTGTGTGTGTGTGTGTGTGTGTGTGTGTGTGTGTGTGTGGACGTGCATTAAGGGCTGCATTACGAGACCAAAGCAATTAGAGCGAGCGATCGACACTCGTCTGCTCTCAGCGCGCTCGCTCTCCTTCCCTCTGACTGCAGATGAAGCTTCTGTGCGAGATGCCCGACGCCTCGCCACTATTCAGTGAGAGCGATCAGCCGACAGGTGTTTTCTGTAGCGGCTCATCTGAACATCTGGATCTCTCACGCGTCAAACTTTGAAAGCCCGTCAGGTCTGCGCTGACAGGCCCTGACAGCACTTCCTTAAAGATGCTGCCCTCTGGTGGCAGCCTCTGAGCAGGGCATCGCTGAAGTCAGCTGGACCGTCACCAGAACAGATCCGGCGTTCAATCTCGGACTCCGGCCTCTCGGCGAGTCGTTTCAGCTCCGCCTCATAGCGGAGGCGAGCACACCTCCCACGTGACAAACACAGCTCCTGTTTTTCAGTGTTGGCGGAGCAGAAGGTTTAATCGCTGTGTGCAGGCACATCTGCTTCACTGACACACAGATGTTTATGCTACAGGTAACCTCAGGTGGAACTGTGCCACCTCCACAAACCGGCGCCTGCCGACCAATCACGACCTCGATCTAACGGCGAGGTCACAGAGTCAGAGGGTTCACACAAGAAAGGCCGTCTGAATCTTTGCCTTTCAATAAAAATAAAAATATATAAATTATTAAGAGAGACTTGATTTGTTTCTCTGAGCTGTAAGAACTTTGTAGCCTGGTGCGGTTTTACTTTATTAATCATTTCAGAGTAATGCCGTTGCTTTAGAGTGAGGCTAGTATTGGCCTGTATTTGTAAAGCGCTTTACACAATCACAGGAATATGACCAAACCAGGATGAACTCAAACTGTACAAAGTCCCCGAAGGGCGCGCACACACACACACACACACACACACACACACACACACACACACACACACACACACACACACACACAGTGTGTTTAGCCTCTCCTTACTTTAAACAGTGCAGTATATAACCAAGTTTTTTTCTATAGCAACTGCTCGATACTGCAGCGTAACAGGAGAAAAGTCCTGAGACGCTGATGCATGCATCCTGCAGACATTCCTGAGGACTTTGCTGTTTCATGTGGCTCGTGTGTGGTGACCTGTGCGAGTGCTGCGGTGAGGGGTTTGTACCTGGAGTGTGCCGGGCAGGCATGCAGAGCCGCTGAGCCCAGACTGAGAGAGAAACCACACGGTTAGCATGCACATCACAGACACCGAGCACAGCGACGAGCCCTGCTGAGTCACGAGAATCCGCTGCGAACACGCAGCAAACAAATGCACTTTCTGCACCCCGAATTCAATTTGAGTGTCTGAAACGCTGCGACGCTGTAAACTGTAGAAGCTCACAGTCGAGCGTCACGTCAGCCTCATTATCTGTGAGTCTCGTGAGCCCTCAGCAGGGCGGTCTGTTTATGAAGAACAGTCAGAGAAGCAGCGCAGGGATGAAGCTCAGGAGGAGGAATAAAAGGGATGTGTGGGAGGAGCGGAGGCTTCGGGCCGGGCTGTGAAAATCCACCAACAGTCGTCTTCACTCTGAAGTAATCAGAGTACAGCGCTGACGGTCAAAGTTCCTGCATGTGGCCTCTGCAGAGCCCAAAGTCTAATTATCAGCAGGTCACAGAGCAGATCTGGTCCATCTTTAATGAGCCGCCTCAACTGAGCGTGTGCTGGACGACGAAGGATACCAACTGCAACCATCCTTATTCCGATGTAATCAGATTACTCTGAGGCAAAAACACCAGGTGCTGAGAGGTTGAACTCTGAATGAAACCAGCTTCCCTTCAAAGTCAACACATGATCCAACAAGTGCACGCACACCTGTTACCATGGAAACAACCGTGCAGAGCGTGTCACGAGGTGCACGCGTCCACCATCTGATATATTTACATCCAAATTAGACCCCCTGGTTTCCTAGCAACAACTTTCATATTTGTCCCACTCCATCGCCCCGAGGATGTAAAAGCAGGCTGATGACATCACTACACGCACACGCTTTAAATGTTCAAATGTAAAAACGTGCGTTATGAATAAACTCAAACTGAACGATCATCGCTGCTCACACTGCTGCATGCTGGTCAACGTCAGCACCACAGAGGCTGCTGGACATTCAGGACATCACGACGACTCCTCTTCAGAGAGGAGGAGGAGTCGTGCACTGAGACAGGACCACAGCAGCTCTTTACTCTCAGCATTTTCCTCAGGCTCTGAAATGAACGTGGCACAAAGCTCGATGCCTTTGCTTGTTATTCCCGCTCATTCGGAAGGTCAGCTCAGTCCTGCAGCTCTGTGCGGCTCCACAGAGCTGAGGAGGAGGAAGAGACTGTCAAAGCACCTCTTCATCACACACTCCCACCCTCTGGTTAGCCAGAGGAGCAGAGTCTGCCAGAAATACATCAAATGCTGCAGGAGGCCCTCTCAGCCCACAGACAGGACCAAGCTGCTCAAACACGTCTCAGAAATAATAATTTATTATTAATGTTTTTCAGGTTTCATCGTTTTTCTTTTCATCTCATAACAGAAACACAAAAATTAACGTTTCCAATCAAACTGCACGACTGAGTCCAAGCAGACTCTTCATCGGCCACTTGTGTGCCGCGGCCTGAAACGAGCCTGGCAACATCCTCTCACGTCCTCGTCTGCCGCCACATCTGGGAAACCAGCGGCCTCTGCATCGGATTAAGGCTCGCTCGAGCGGCCTCAGCTGAACCGCTGTGCGGCGTACACGGGCGCGCGCTCGCTGACTAAAGCCTGCTCTGACCTACATTTTGGGGCAGAGCAGCAGGGAAGTGGGTCTGTGGAGCTCAGACTGAAAACACGCTGCGGCCAAACACGTGCCGCCGAGCTCAGATGGATGGTCAGAGAGGCGGAGCCCAATATTTACAGAAGGACATGAACGTGGGCCAAACCGCACGATCCACATTAACGCCAACAATCAGAGACGATGAAGGGATTAACGACCCGTCGAGCCAAAGCACACAGCACAGACGAGTACGCACAGTAAGCCTGACGAGACTCTCAGGAACCCACGACAAGCCGAGCAGTCAAACCTCAGAAACGTGCACACCGAGCAAAAACAACCAACCAGGGCTCACCTCTCCTGAGCCTGAGTGGGCCGCCCCACAGGTGATGTGAAATAATCACATCCTAACATAAAAACTGCTCCTTCACATGAAACATCTCCGACGAGCTAGCTGCTCTCAAACCGCTGATGATGGGCTCTGATATTTAGAACTTTGCTGCTTTGAGCGTGGTTTACACACACCCACGGTAACCATGGTAACCCCCCCATAAAAACAAGCCTATTGTCAGACTTAAACTAAATGTGCCTGAATTCTACGCAGGACCACAGAAACACTGCTGGACTACAGACTGTATGCAGGAGATGGACCCAAACACTGCTTCCTCACCACCAGGGGGCGCCACAGGTCCCACCGTTACTCATCCAATCCCAAAGAGGATCCGTGTCTCCACCTAGAATTAAACCCGCGACCTTTCACTTTCTAAAAAGGGACGTGAAAACTACGACAGAGCACAAACTCATCAGGTCAACTGAGGTCACCGAGCAAAGAAGCTGGGAACTGTTCCCAAACCACAGGAGTCGCCCCCTGCTGGACACGAAAAACAACCTCTTTGGTTCAATATAAAATATCCACATCTGGAGAGGTGGAAGCTGTGTATTTGGGACATTATTCCTAAGATGCACATTACTGCAGCACCTCCACTCTCACCTCCACCCAGCTAACAGCCGCTCATGTACTGAGTTTGCCACCGATTCCACCGAACACTGTGCACCCGCACCACAGCCTGCACATCTGGACTTGCATTTTTAGGGCTAACAGCTCATCCAACAAAGTCTTCCTGGTGTTTTTTGACTTTGTGCATGTTTAAAGTTTGTGCATGTGACGCATCAGAGGCTGAAGCAGCTTCACTGTCGCGTTCACGTATTCAGCTCGACTTCTCTCGTGGTCAGTCGAGGTACAGAGCTGAACGACACTGAGCGCTGCTAGCATGAATGCTGACTGTTATTCACAGCATCATCAGGGATTTTTGCTTTTATGCAGCACGAACTTGAAAAGCTCCCCTGCTGCACGGACACACAGACCCTTGCAGCGTGCAGCTCCTCTTCAGAAAAGGAGGCACATTAAGAGCGAGCGCAGGCTCTGCTGCAGCCTGCACAAACACAGTGCAGCCTTTTAATGGCTGAATAAGTAAAAGCCAGATGCGTCCTGGGCTATTTCGGGTTTGTGTGTGAATCACGTGGCCGTGCCCCGTCAGGCGTGGGTATCGGGGCTAAAAGGAGCCACGGCTATTCATCACGCCATGCCGCAACGCTGGAACTGAAAGCCCCGCACGCACAGCCGTGTGCGACTGCAGCTGCAAGCCGAGCTGAAAGCCCCCACAGGAGGAGACGCGGAGGCAACAATGGCTGCCGACGCCGTGCAGGAACACAGGAGGGGCTGAGGAGGGAGGAGGGGGTGAAGTGGCCTTTGAGGCTGATCTGCCATCACACGAGTAAAGATTAGAGCTTCACACAAAGACAGGAGAGGAGGAGGAGGAGGAAGAGGAGGGGGGTGAAAATGAGTTTTATTTTGAAAGGCAAACAGTTACAGAGGCTTTTATTTTGGGTGGCTGCAGGATTAAAGCAGCTCATTAGCTCCTCTGTTTGGGTGTGGTGGCTCCAGCCTCACCCTGCCATGTGCATCTATGGTGGATGAAGGAAGGTGTGTGGAGCACATGGGATGGAAGCAGCTAACTGGGTGAAGCTGCTGATGGAGGATGAACGGGTGGATGTGGGGAGGACACGGGGGACGGAGACTGATCCAGACCTGCGTGGAAGACCACGGTGTTCTTCCTGCATCCCGACAGCAGCTGGAGGTTTCGGAAAAGTCCTTTAGCCGTCAGCTTCACGTGGAAGTTGGACAGCGACAGTCTGGGAGACCACAACATGGTTCGGTGCGAGGCGCCTCCGTCGGACTCACAGTCCTTTTCTGCACTTTGAGTTCTTCTCCTCGTCTCAACGTGTCCTGAGCGGCAGGTCACACTGACCCACTTCTTCTTTAGCGGACGGGAGAAGGAAATCCTCCTTTTCTTTAAATTTCAAAAACAAAAAATCCTCCAAAAACAGAATCTGGTTACTGCTGCTGGGATTTGTAGCCTGCATCTGCGTGAAAGCCACGAGGAAAAACAAGACGTCGCATTTTAAAAACAGATCCTGCGCTCGGTCCAGGGACGAGGACGCACGCTAAGCCGCCATCCGGCCTTCATCAAAGCCACAGAGCCGCCGCCGCGACACGAACACATGAAATAAAAGGAGCGAAGCAGAGCGGCTCCTGCACCGCAGCCAGCACGGGAAGAAAATGGCGCCAAAAATAGCAGCGAGCTTCACCGTCGCCGAGGTCAC